ACTGCCAGTGTCGAATTCCTTCCTCCCCCCCCACTGCCAACCTGAGGAACCTCTGAGAGGCTTCCGCCACGGGCACGTGTAGGTAGGCGTCCTTCAAGTCTATGGATGCCATGAATGCACCTGGTGGGATTAGGGACCTGATTGTAAAAATGGAATCCATGCGGAACCCCCGGTAACGTACTGACTTGTTCAAGGGTTTCAGGTTCAAAATCAGTCTGAACGCCCAGACGGCTTTTGAAACCACAAAACACATGGGAATAAACTCCCTTCCCTCGCTCCGCTACCGGAACCCTGGAGAATGACCCCCCACTGGGACTCCAGAAATCTCCAAAGCGCCCACCAGAGCCGCGTCCTTCGTCGGAATCCCTTGGACGGGTCGTCACTAGAAAAAGTCCTCGGGTGGCGGTCTCAAGAAATTCTAACCGGTACCCCTTCGGATGACATCCAAAATGAAGGGGCTGGTGACCACGGCTTCCCACTGTGGAGGAATGCCGCCAATCTTCCCCCCACAGGAGGAACCAAGTCACCTTGGTTTTGGGGCTGCTCAGGAGGGCGAAAAATCGCCCCCCCTCTTCCCCTACCTCTCTGTCCACCGACCTAACCCTGACCAGGCGGTCGCAGGCTCAGCCTCTTTGACCGGGCGGGCCTCCGTGTCCCCCCCCTCCTGCATTTTCCTCTTGAGGGGAAGGACTTTTTCCTATCAGCTGTCCGGTCCAATAATTCCTCCAAACCCCGGGCCGAACAGACAGTCTCCTGTGAGGGGGATGCCGCATAACCTAACTTTTGAAGTGATGTCCCCCTGCCATGTCTTTAGCCACAGCGCCCTTCTGGCTGAATTGGTCAGGGCAGCAGACCTGGCCCCCAATCTCACCGACTCTGCGGAAGCATCCGCAATATACCCCACAACTCCTTGCAAAAGGGTCTCAAAAGAGGCCAAGATTTTTTTCCTTGGGAGAGTCTGCCACAAATATGGCCTGTAATTGCGTAAGCCAATTACTCTAAGTTCCTGGCTACCACTGTCGTAGCCATGGCCGGTTTCAGGTTGTACAGGGTCGAGTCCCAGGCCTTCCTAAGGAGAGACTCTGCCCTTCTGTCCAATAAGTCCGGTAAGACCCCCTATGTCCTCAACGCTAGGTCAGTTTCTCCTGGTTGTTTGGGAAAAGGCCGCGTCTAGCCATGGGGCTCTTGTTTTTTTCCAGAACCGCCTTCCGGGTCTTCCGAAAACGGAACCTCCATCCTCAACGCTTTTGTGAGAAGAAACGGTTTTCCTTTCCGGGTCTTGCCACAACACTTATCTCCTCCACCACCATTCTTAATCGTGTCTACCAAATGTCATGCACATAGGAAACTTTCTGTGCTGGGTTGCTCCTCCAATCCCTGATACATTTGGGTCGTGGAGAAGATAAGGCCTTAACCTCCTCCTTAATGTACCAGGGTTTCGTAATATAGCCCCAGGAGCTCATCAACCCTCCTCTAGGGTCAAACTTATACCGGGAGGGGCCCCTCCCTTCCTCTCTGAGGGACCCTCAACAACACGCTGATTCCTCCTCCTAGACTGGGAGTCCCCCACTGGTTCCTCCCCAGTCATAAGGGGTTCCCGACGACTCACCGAAGCCAACCTGGGGGGGGGGGGGGGGGTAGTGTAGGTAATGGGAGGGCAAACCTCTCCATGAGGGACTTGAAGGAGTCGAAGGTGGTATAGCCAACTCCTTCACTGACCCATAGCTAGGTCCCCCTGTTCCGGCTTCTCCTCCCTCACCAACCCCTGTATACATGGGGCCACAAAGAACCTTTCGCCAAGATTTTTTAGAACTTCCTTACAGGGAAGGGCATCTCCGCTTGGGCTCCTGGTGCCTAAGTTTAGCTCGGGCCTTGCCCTGCAAGACACAAAAAGAAAAGGGGGGGGGGGGGGGGGAAGCCCAATCAGTCCGACACTAAACACCCCCCCCCCCCCCCCCCTGCTTCCCGGCAGAGCAACAAGGGCCTGAAAAACCACGCAGAAACCCCTTGCCCTACCTTCCTGCTAGGGGCCCAACAGGTAGGGGGATTGGCCTCACTGAGGGCACCTTACCTGCGACTGGCTGGTGCTGGCATCTACACTGGTCCCGGTTGCCTCCGACATCCCGTACCGAGGTGGGTCGCCTGGTGCAGGTCTGTCCCCCCAGACCGCTGTGCACCGCACCGCCACATTCGAATTTCGCGCCGACCGTGGTGTGAAGGCCGCGACCGAAGCGGAAGTCGCGGCCCTGGGCGAAGCCCCGCCCCTTCCGCCGGAAAACCGGCCGTCTCCCCGACGTCCGGCCCGGCAAAGGCCCTCAGAGAACCGCCAGCATGGGAAGGAGCGGAAACTCCCCCCGATCCTCCCCAGACCTCACCACGGCCACCCCCTCCCGACAACCCCCCCTCGCCGGAGGGGGCCGGGGGGGCGAAGAGCAGGTAAGTGCCCTGTCCCGTAGGTCTCTCAGAGTGCTGGCCTGAAAGACGGTAGGGGAAAATCATATCATATCATATAAAAAGGTCATATCAAAACAGCAACAGGTTTCGGTGCCAACACAGGATACACAATGAGTAACTTGAGTGCAGTTGCTGTCCAGCCTCCATTCGGTCTTTAGACCTGCACACTGAGCTTATAAAACACTACTTTTACAGGTGTTTGTGGGGGGTTTTTTTTAACATGTAAATGCACCTCTATTTATTACAGGTACTTATATAGCGCCGTCAATTTACGCAGAGCTTTACATATATATTGTACATTCACATCAGTCCCTAAACCCTCAAGGGGCGTACAATCTAAGGTCCTTAACTCACATTCATACATACACATGCTAGGGCCAATTAACCTACCAGCATGTCTTTGGAGTGTGGGAGGAAACTGGAGTTGCCGGAGGAAACCCACGCAGGCAAAGGGAGAACATGCAAACTCCAGGCAGGTGGTGCCGTGGTTGGGATTCGAACCAATGACCCTAGTACTGCCAGGCGGAAGTGCTAACTATTTAGCCACTGTGCTGCCCTATGTTAGCCTAGGTTACCATGCACACATATGCAGTTACAGAAGAGAAATGTTTAGAAAAACACAACACAACACACACACTTTTAACAGAAAATAAAATGCTGAATGTGCCTAATATATGTAAACACGTGTTAACGTATGTATAGTCTAGGCACATTTAGCATTTGAGGATTTATTTCTTTCAATGGCCAAAATAACTATTCTGGTCAATGGAGACAATGAACACTCAAATGATTGACACACCTAAATGTGTGTGCAAAAACACGGCTTTAAAATGGTTGTAAAGACTCAAATATTTTTACCTTCATGCAGGGTTAAAAACCTTCTGTGTGCAGCAGGCCCTCTAATATTTACCTGAGCCTCGTCCATCGATGAGCCTCCTATCCATGATGCGCACAAGAACAGCAGTTCTCCGGGTACTGTTCCTCCTCATTGGCGGAGACAGCAGCAGAAGCCACTGCTCCTGCTACTGTTAATCACAGCCAATGAGCAAACGAGGAGAGAGCAGGGCTAAACCGCGCTAGTGTGTGTATGGACACACAGAACAGTGGCTCAGGAGCAAACTTGCCAGCTGCCTCTAAATTTAAAATAAAAATTTTTTTTTTTTATCGTGCCAGGAGAAAAGGCATCCAGGGGAGGAAAAAAAATGTCCTGTGTGTACATATGGCCTAAACCTGGAAAACAATAAGTATCAGTCATACAAACAACTGTCACTGAATAGAATGTGTCAACATTGCACAGAACTTAGTCACTATATATAAAATCAGTCACTGTAACTAATCTCACCAACCGTCTTAGTGATTGATGTCACTGTACAGAATCCCCCAGCGACTTAATTATGCCATCGTATATATTCTCTCAATGTATATACCTACAACAATAGGCAACACCATAGTATATATTGATACAGACTGTCAGATAGAAAAATATCCCCCAATTATTACAAGTGAAACTGTATACGTTTAACACAACATATCATGCGTCAGGTGGGAGGTGATGATGGCAGTGCTATTATCTGAAGGAAGTGATATATTCTCTCCCCCACAGATGCTCTCAGTAGGAACTATTATTTTTATGCTTTCACAGGAGTCATGCGTGTATTTAAATAGGGTGGATCTATCCCTACCCTAATCCTTCCCTTCGCCTGTTCTTTAATCAGCTACTTGGTTTGCAGCTGTCACTCAAATAAGAAGGGAGTTTACAACTAAAGGAGAAAGTGTAGAAAACCTAGGACTTCTGAGCTATGGAGCCAACAGAGATGAAGCCAAGAGGTCATAGAGCATTCCAATTCAACTACTATGCCTGCACAGCAGCTGGAAGATCTTCTAAACAATGAACAAGACACACAATTTAGCAAGTATGTATGCATGCAATATTCTTGCAAAAAAAGAAAATAAAATCTGGACAGTCCAGACAAGATATTCCACACTCCTTGATAAAGGCAAAAGGTTTATAACCCTGGTCAGATTTTTTGTTGCCATTGGGGAGATTTACCTTTGACTGTTTTGGCTAAGAGACAGAGTAGAGGAAATCATTTCAAATTAATGGAATTCCTTGGGAACCCCATTAGAAGATTCTCCCTCTGTTACTTTTCTGGGGACAACCCAAAAGTTAGGATTTTCTTTTTCTTTTACTTTCAATGAGAATGGTAAACAGGAAAAATAGGGTGCATCTCCCTAATGAGGGTGTTCTAATCCATCTCCAGTCTGTCCAAAACTAAACATTTTATAGTCTATAGTTATACTTTGAGACGTTTTGTTAAAAAAAATAAATAAATAAATATTCATAATCTTCTGGTATTAATCTCTCCTTTAATTTGTCATCATAGAGGTAATGATGCATGTCGGACTTGCGTCTCTTTATATTTCTGCCTGTCAGATACACTATAAATTTACAGCAACCAATCCAAATTAGAGTGTCTGGATCTGTAAAGAAGAATTTCTTGTTGCTTTGTATGGTTTATTACATTAGACGCCACAGAAAAACCTACTTTTTGCAGTCACGTTGGAGACTCTCTCGGAATGACCATGCAACTTGATATGGAGATTCTCTATCTGATTCGTCTTGTTCCTCTCCACTATCTTCTGACCAATCCAGCCCTGTTGGAGGAAAAAGAAAAAAAAAAAAAAATTTCAGCACCTTTTAATGAAACAACCTGAGTCTTTAAATCATTCCCTACCCTTGAGGAGTGCCTTGGATCCTAGACCCAAGCTACACACACAAGACTTCTACTTGTGTCCAGTGCCCAAGCAGAGATTGAGCCCAGCCACATCCTGGTTATTAAAAATTGTCATATGCCAGGAGGCATTTACTGCACACTAAAGTTCTGGCATTCGAGAGCTGAGAGACTGGGGATATGGTTTAGCATCAGGAATTCCAGCTCAACTTTGGTAGAAGCTGAGGCACCATGTGCAGCCTAGGTAAAAAAAAAAAAAAAAAAACACAACAACACACAACCCAAGGAACCAACCTACAGGCCAACTCATATACTTTCAGGCATCATAAGGTGCCTATACTTCAGCAGTGTTACCTTAGATATTTTTCATCTTCTTAAAGTGAACCTGACCTGGCCTGACATAATTGCTTGGCCATGTGAAAAGACTGGTTTACATAAAAAGGACCATTTGGGAAGATCCAAATATTCTGACAAAGTACACAGAAATACTACGTTAAGTAAACCTGATCACAGTTCTATTGAGAAAGCATCTGTGTCTTCACTAAACATTTTAAAATGTGCCAAATGTTTGTATGTATTCTGTTCATACTGCGGACTAAGCAAGCAAATCAAAGAACATAGCAGAGACCAACATATCACTTTACTCACTGAGCACATTTCTGATTTAAAAATCAGAAAACCCAAATGGAAAGAGCTAAAAAGAAAAGCTGTATGCATTACCTTGTAAAAGACAGCATTTGATTCTACAGGTAAATGATTGCTCTTAAAGCCCAACTCCAGCCAAAAATTTCTAACATTTTAGATATCATGAGGAAGGGTTAGAAATGAGTGTGTGCCCATTGAGGAAAATTATTCCTATGCCCTGTCTTTTTCTTTTTAGGTCTTTGTCTGTTCCAGGGATACTAGAATAGACTGCCTGCTGCTGCATTTGTGCAGTCCTTTTTTTCCCCATTCACCCTAATAGAGACAAAAGGTCAGGCACAGAACCGCACAGCTTTTAAGAGGACCACAGTGCCAACCAGCATAACCAAGAGTAGCCTGGGGCTCCTGAAACAGGTGGGTCATTATTGACCTACGTAAAAGAGGAAATAGTTAGCACTCAATGGAGAAGGCAGGTCAGTTAGGAATGATTTGAGAGCACAGTTACCTTTTAAAAGGGAATTAAACTTCCTGTTTTGACTGGGGAATCTGCAACCTTTCCTTTCAATGCCCACTGCATAGAACAAAAGACCTGATCTTGTGGCCAAGTACAGACAGGTTTTATCCCTGACCAGCTTACAGCACATACAGATTCCCAGACTTTAATGTGGCATAAACAGAGACTTAGGCTGGCCATACATTATACAATTCTCTTGAGATTTATTTAGATTTACCAAAAACCATATAATACGAGGTCAAACCTAACAACACTTTCAATTGTATCCAATTAGGCAGGCCCTTGCACTACATAGTTGAAGGTAAATCTAAAGGAAATTGGGCAGAAAAAATTGTATAGTGTATGGCCAGCGTAACTTTCACTGGAGAAATCTCCCACCACTCTCTATATAATTGCAACAAGAAAGTACCTGCGCCAACATTCAGATCTTTACAGAGCTTTGAGCTGCTACTCCGACATGTCTGCAGCACATCTGGGGGCAGAGGCACCAATAAAACATTTCCGAGTAAGCTAGAAACTCAGGTTTTTTCTTGGGTTCTGTGTCCTCATTGAGGAGAACAGGAAGCTCAGGAAAATTTCCTTTAAAAAAAAGGTAAAAACAGGCAGCATTTAAAATCTCACTGGCCACTAACGAGGTGGATGGAGGAATCCCTTCCCTCTGCACCTGCCTCTGTCAGAATACACTGATCTGTGACTGCAGCATTCAATGATCGAAGAAAAATTTCCAATATGCCCTTTAAAAAACAGAAGACTATTAAACAATCAACTTCTTTCAAGTAGAGATGGCCACATACTGATTGAAAATTGTCAGGTTCCTACCTTACCTGCCAAAATTTTAATCAGTGTATGGCCAGCTTTAGACTCTGACCCTTTCTCCAATATACACAAAACTTCAAAATTGACCGGGAGTTGGGATTTAATTACACTTCCATGTCAGTGTTCAGACTTACCCAAATGCGGGAACAAATCGGTTTCTAGTTGCCGTTTTTGTGTGCACAGTTTCATCAGTCGCTGCAACCGACTGACACAGGAGGAATAGGTTGGTAAGGCTGTGGCAGTCACCTGGATTTTGTCAGATTGTGGTGGGTCTGTAGAGAGCGGTGGGGCAGATAGAGGTCTCTTATTAGACAAATTTTTTGTTTGTGCTAATGTGTGCATTACGGGTGATGCTCCCTGTACTGGTAAGCTGGTATTCTGAGGTTGAGGTGACGTACAAGTCAGGCTCTGCGTTAGCCCAGTAGATTTCAGCGATGTTGGTACAGGCTGTACCAGCATTTGCTGGTCTTGAAGAGACAAAGGTTGCAGCTGAGAAGGTGCAGGGTGAGGACTAAAGTGCTCTTGATGAACTTTTAAAATCTCCGACTCTTTCTGACGCTGTCGATTCTGTGCCAGCTTGCTCTGCAACTTCTTCTTTATAGATGCCCCTTTCCTAAGCTCTTCCTCTTCCTCCTCCACAGTAAAAGAATCATCCAAGTCTGTTTCCAGGTAATGGAGGGGAAGCCTGGCCCCAGGAGGGGAAAGGGTCATCCCATCCAGTCCATTGGGCATCTTCAAGGCCAGGGTGGGCACTGTTAAACTGAAGGCCACAGTTTCCATTTGATTCCTAGCCTTTACTTCCTCCAGTGCATCATTTTTTTTCTTCCTTTCTTTTTTGGGGATAAAGCCGAGTACCTGCAGGTGACTGTTGCAGTACCTTGTAAATAAAGAGAGTAGAATCAATACCAGTGCTGCATCAGCAATAAATGTGTAATTGCATGGTCTAACTAAGGTAAGAAGATTGTAGATTTTAGGTCCAATTAATGCCAGTAGTACACGAAAACGGTCCCTGTACTCACTGATCTAAAAATAGTCCTGCTGCTGGCCAATTTCTATTAAATTCTCAAGAATTAGGAGACAGTAAATGATACAGTAGTGAAATGTTTTAGGACAACAATTTTAAATGAGGGCTGAAATGTACTAGAGATGAGCACAAGCAAGTGCTTTTAAAAAAAGGCACAGGCAAGTGCTTTAATAAAATATATATCTATATCCGCCCATATTTACTAGCAACAAAGAACAAATAAACTAAAAGGGATAGGGGTGCCAGGAATGCGATCAATATAATTTGAGGTAGCTTTGGTGCACACTTTTTGCACCAAGTTTTTTTTTTCCCTTCCAAATGATGCAGCAATGTGCTACAAACATAAGATCACACAGATGGCCAGAAAAAAGAAAAAAAAAAAAGAGAAGGAGGAGGAGAGGAGAAAGGTGGAGGAGAAGGAGAAAGGAGAAAGAGAAGGAGAAAGGAGGAGGAGGAGGAGGACAAGGAGAAAGGAGGAGAAAGGAGGAGGAGGAGAGGAGGACAAGGAGAAAGGAGGAGAAAGGAGGAGGAGGAGGAGGACAAGGAGAAAGGAGGAGAAAGGAGGAGGAGGAGGAGGACAAGGAGAAAGGAGGAGGAGGAGGAGGAGGAGGACAAGGAGAAAGGAGGAGGAGGAGGAGGAGGAGGAGGAGGAAAAGGAGAAAGGAGGAGGAGGAGGACAAGGAGAAAGGAGGAGGAGGAGGAGGAGGAGGAGGACAAGGAGAAAGGAGGAGGAGGAGGAGGAGGACAAGGAGAAAGGAGGAGGACAAGGAGAACAAGGAAAAAGAGGAGGAGGAGGAGGAGGAAAGGAGGAGGAGGAGGAGGACAAGGAGAAAGGAGGAGGAGGAGGAGGAGGAGGAGGAGGAGGACAAGGAGAAAGGAGGAGGAGGAGGAGGAGGACAAGGAGAAAGGAGGAGGAGGACGACGAGGAGGACAAGGAGAAAGGAGGAGGAGAGGACGACGACAAGGAGAAAGGAGGAGGAGGAGGAGGAGGAGGAGGAGGAGGAGGAGGAGGACAAGGAGAAAGGAGGAGGAGGAGGAGGAGGAGGAGGACAAGGAGAAAGGAGGAGGAGGAGGAGGAGGAGGAGGAGGACAAGGAGAAAGGAGGAGGAGGAGGAGGACGACGACAAGGAGAAAGGAGGAGGAGGACGACGACAAGGAGAAAGGAGGAGGAGGACGACGACAAGGAGAAAGGAGGAGGAGGAGGAGGACGACGACAAGGAGAAAGGAGGAGGAGGACGGACGACAAGGAGAAAGGAGGAGGAGGAGGACGAGGACGACGACAAGGAGGAGGAGGACAAGGAGAAAGAGGACAAGGAGAAAGGAGGAGGAGGAGGAGGACAAGGAGAAAGGAGGAGGAGGAGGAGGACAAGGAGAAAGGAGGAGGAGGAGGACAAGGAGGAAAGGAGGACGAGGAGGAGGAGGAGGACAAGGAGAGGAGGAGGAGGAGGAGGACAAGGAGGAGGAGGACAAGGAGAAAAGGAGGAGGAGGAGGAGGAGGACAAGGAGGAGGAGGACAAGGAGAAAGGAGGAGAGGAGGAGGAGGACAAGAGAAAGGAGGAGGAGGAGAAAAAGAAGAAGGAGAAAAAGAAGGAAGGAGGAGAAAAAGAAGGAAGGAGGAAGAAAAAGAAGGAAGGAGGAGAAGAAAAAGAAGGAAGGAGGAGAAGAAAAAGAAGGAAGGAGGAGGAGAAAAAGAAGGAAGGAGGAGGAGAAAAAGAAGGAAGGAGGAGGAGGAGAAAAGAAGGAAGGAGGAGGAGAAGAAAAAGAAGAAGGAGGAGGAGAAAAAGAAGAAGAAGGAGGAGGAGAGGAAAGAAGAAGGAGGAGGAGAAAAAGAAGGAAGGAGGAGGAGAAAAAGAAGGAAGGAGGAGGAGAAAAAGAAGAAGAAGAGGAGAAAAGAAGAAGGAGGAGAAGAGAAGAAGAAGAAGAAGGAGGAGGAGAAAAAGAAGGAGGAGGAGAAAAAGAAGGAGGAGGAGAAAAAGAAGGAGGAGGAGAAAAAGAAGGAGGAGGAGGAGGAGGAGGAGGAGGAAGGAGAAGGAGGAGGAGGAAAAAGGAGGAGGAGGAGAAAAAGAAGGAGGAGGAGAAAAAGAAGGAGGAGGAGAAGGAGGAGGAGAAGAAGGAGGAGGAGGAGAAGGAGAAGGAGAAGGAAGATGCCGTACTTTGATAAATAAATAAGTAATCCTCCTGCGCTTAATGGAGTGCCTATAGTTATAAGCAGCTCACACTCAGACTGGTACCATATAGTAGAACTAATAAATACAAAAGGGTAGTGCAGCGCTCAATCACACACTTATATCAAATCCAAATAAGTAACAAATAGTATAATAATGCTCTTAAATATATCAAAGAGACACACAAATGATATGAATGAAGCAGAGACACTCTCTTAAGTAATATCAAAGTGACTAGTATTCAAAAATAGCAATATTTTTGCCCCGCTCACTCCCACTCTATAACATGACCAGTGGGTAGGACTATTCAAGGTGGGTATGCACAGTTCATAAATAGTATGTGGTGGTGTCCAACACAGTAGAAACTTGTGCATTGTGCGTGATCACACAAAACTTCCAGTGCTGGTGAGTGACTCTCCTCCTATGGCTGAATTGCCTCCTCACCATTCAGCCATAGGAGGAGAGTCACTCACCAGCACTGGAAGTTTTGTGTATCACGCACAATGCACGAGTTTCTACAAGTTTTTTGAATACTAGTCACTTTGATATTACTTAAGAGTGTCTCGGCTTCATTCATATCATTTGTGTGTCTCTTTGATATATTTAAGAGCATTATTATACTATTTGTTACTTTTTTGGATTTGATAGAAGTGTGTGATTGAGCGCTGCACTACCCTTTTGTATTTATGCCGTACTTTGAGCCCCCAATAAGATAAAAAAAAAAAAAAAAAAAAAGCAGAAAAGATGTTGCTTTCCCAAATGTATAGTAATCAGAATTAAAAGTACAGCTTCCCACATGACCATAAAGGTGAAGCATGGCCAAAGATTGTTTGGCCACACTTCTCTGGATCACAGGAGTGCACTTATTTTTGCACTTCTGTGACCCAGATTTAGCAGACAGAGGGCTAAAGCCTGCTGTCAATGGATGTCACAGAGCCGGTCCAAGCTCTGCAGGGATCCCAACAATTATGTCAGGATCCACCCAGATGCCTGATCTACACCTGCCTCAGCCTCCTAGCATGCTGCTGAGAGCCTGAGCCAGCCACTATCACCCCCTCCACAGCCCAATGCTCCACTACGCACTGGAAGGGCAGAGTAGAGAGCCTGTGACTGACAGTGAAAATCAAGAACTGAGTGATAAGCGGTCATATGATCACTCATTTCTCTGTCTTAGACCTGGCATCGGACTGATTCTGCAGCCACATAGGGGAGTATAAATGTTTTGTTTTTTTAATGTCGCAGTTCTCAAGTTTCTGCAGATTCTCTTTCTCCAGCTCAGGTCCATACCAAGGTACAGAACGTTGGTTACAAAGCTGGACAAAAGTACAGTGATGTCACTCCAATTTTGCTCAATTGAGAACTACAGTAACCTCTGCCACAGTGGCAGATGGAACTTGTTTTCCCATTCATGTGAATGAATGAACAGCTGTGCTACAAAATTTAAAATTTTACAGGAGATGGCAGGGAGAAGAACCCTCAGGTTTGTTAGGTGTGGGGGGTTTGGGGGTAGATGGTTGTGTCTACAGCCTTTTACCCCTAAATCCCCACACTTACAGAAATATGGGTTCAGCATGAAAACTCAGACCAAATAGGTGGAGTTATTTTTTAAAGAGTTATTTCCACTGATACTCACCATTTCAGCGATCCCCCCCATGATCCTGCCTCTAGCATATTATGACAAATGTCCTCGGGTAACTTCAGCTCTACTTTTAAACAACCATTATTCTACATATACAAATGGATAATGGCAGGTGAGCTGTTTGTCAGCTGATAATAGAGGCAGTTGGACGTACCTACGGTCTTCTGATTTAGGGATGGGATTGGTGCAGCGCTGGCTGTTGTACTTGGCCACATATTCACATTGCTTGAAGGGAGCTGTCTTGTCTTCTAGAACATGTCGGATACAGAAGGCATAGCCATTAAGTCGCCGCTGCTTGCAGAGTTTGGGACTGTAGGAGCATAGGGGCTTATTGTCAACCTCGGAAAAGTGTATGTGTTTGCCTTCATACATCACGTGACTCTGTTCCTTGTGAACATTAGCTGAAAAAAAAAAAAGAAAAAAAAAAAAAAGAAGGTTGGAGGCCAATATTTTATGTAAAAGTGGTTATTAAAGGCAAAATTCCAGGTATGCATATTTCTGCATGGTTACATTGGTCCAGCTGGAACCCATGTAACCATACATGTATTATACCTGTGAATTCCCCATGGAAGCTGGAATCACTGTAGCAGGCATCGCTACTACAGTGATTGCTGCTAGCTTTTGGGTGCTCTGCTGAGCTACTGCCCTGCTGCTTAGTGAACACAGGAGGTCACTTGCTCTGCACAGGCATGAAATGTTCTCCAACTGGACAAGCTGGAGATTGTGATGTCACTGCCCCATCTCTCCACCTCATACAATAAGAGAATGCTTTGCATTAATTGCAAACGCGTAATGTGTCCCTCGAATGAAATACGTGTCAAACGAGCAACCCTTGTGTTCATTTAGCCTAAAGAAAGATGATCAGCTCGGGACCTGGAAGCTAGCGAAGATCACTGTAGTAGCTATACCTACTACAATTTATTTCTAGCTTCCACAGGCAATGTTCAGGTTTTACACATGCATACGTTAAAGTGGAGCTTCACTCTCTCAATCAACATGGACCATTTTTAATCCTTATGCTTATAGCATTAGTAAATAGGAAAGTACAATGGGTAAAAAAGGTATAGAACATTTCACCATTTTTCTAGGTAAATACACTGCTCAAAAAAAAATGTAAAGGAACACTTTGGAAACACATCAGATCTCAATGAGGAAAAATATCAAGCTGGATATCTACAGGGATATGGACTGGGTAATGTGTTAGGAATGTAAGGATGCCCCATCGTTTGATAGAAATGAAAATTACCAACCTACAGAGGACTAAATTCAAAGACACCATGAAAATCAAAGAGAAAAAATGATGCAGTAGGCTAGTCCATTTTGCTGAAATTTCATTGCAGCAACTCAAAATGGTACACAGTAGTTTGTATGGCCCCCACGTGCTTGTATGTCTGACCATGTCTGGGTATGTTCCTAATGAGATGATGGTGTCCTGAGGTATTTCCTCCCAGATCTGGACCAGGGCATCACTGACCTCCTGGACAGCCTGAGGTGCAAATTGGCAACGTCATATGAACCGAAACATGATATCCCAGAGGTGTGCTATTGGATTTAGGTCAAGCAATCATGGGGGCCATTCAATGGTATCAATTCCTTCATCCTTCAGGAACTACCTGCATACTCTTGCCATGAGTCCAGGCATTGTTTTGCACCAGGACCCACTGCACCAGCGTAGGGTCTGACAATGGGTCCAAGTATTTCATCCGGATACCTAATGGCAGTCAGGATGACATTGTCTAGCCTGTAGAGGTCTGTGTGTCCCTCCATGGATATGCCTCCCCAGACCATCACTGACCCACCACCAAAACAGTCATGTTGAATGATGTTACAGGTAGCATAACATTCTCCATGGCTTCTCCAGACCCTCATGTCTGTTAAATGTGCTCAGGGTGAACCTGTTCTGATCTGTGAAAACCACAGGACACCAGTGATGGATCTGCCTATTCTACTGTTCAATGGCAAATGCTAATCGAGCTCTGTGGTGCCAGGCATTAAGCACAGGGCCCACTAGAGGATGTCAGGCCCTCAGGCCACCCTTATGAAGTCTGTTTCTGATTTTTTGGTCAAAGAGATTCACACCAGTCGCCTGCTGAAGGTTATTTTTTAGGGCTGTGGCAGTGCTCATCCTGTTCCTTCTCACACAAAGGAGCAGACACCGGGCCTGCTGATGGGTTAAGGACCTTCTACAACCCTGTTCAGCTCTCCTAGAATAACTGCTCGTCTCCTGGAATCTCCTCCATGCTCTTGAGACTGTGCTGGGAGACACAGCAAATCTTCTGGCAATGGCACGTATTGATGTGCAATCCTGGAGGAGTTGGACTGTCTGTGCAACCTTTGTAGGGTATCACCTCATACTACCAGTAGTGACACTGACCCTAGCCAAACGCAAAACTAGTGAATAACAGTCAGAAAAGATGAGAAGGGGGAATAAAAAAAATTTGGCAGTGGTCTCCAACTGTAAAACCATTCCTGTTTTGGGGTTGTCTCATTGTTGCCCATCTAGTGCACCTGTCAATTTCATCAGCTGAAACTGATCAACAACCCCCTCTGCTTCTCAACTGACCTGATCAATGTCCCAGAAGTTTAATTGACTTGAAGCTATACACTGATTAAAGAGTGTTCCTTTAATGGTTTTGAGCAATGTATATTTCTAAAGATGCTACTGACATGAAATTTTTACCACGTCGGCAACATCCCATGCAATACATACATACAAAGAAGCCAAAACAAAGAAGTACAGAAATTAAGTTAATGTGTAATAAAATGGAATGACACAGGGAAAAAAAAAAAGTATTGAACATACTAACTGAAATGTAATACTTTGTACAAAATCCTTTCTTGGCAATGATGGCTTCAAGGTGCCTCCTGTATAGAGAAATTAGTCCCATGCATTGCTCAGGTGTCATTTTGACCCATTCTTGCACACAAACAGTCTTAAATTTTGAAGGTTCCGTGGGCCTCTATGAACTTTTATCTTTAGTTTTAGTTTCCATAGATTTTCTTTTGGATTCAAGTCAGGTGATTGGCTGGGCCATTCTACCAGCTTTATTTTCTCTTTCATTGAAACCAATTAAGAGTTTCCTTGGCTTCGTGTTTTGGATCATTGTCTTGCTGAAATGTCCACCCTCGTTTCATCTTCACCATCCTGGTAGATGGGCAGCAGATTTTTTATATTAAGAATGTCTTGTTACATTTTTTACATTTATCCTTCCTTGAATAATATGAAGTTTGCCAGTACCGTATGCTGAAAAACAGCCCTATGCCATGATGTTCCCACCTTCAAACTTCACTGTTTGTATGGGGTTTCTGAGGTGATGTGCAGTGCCATCTGACCTCCAAACATGGTGTGTATTATGGCATCCAAAGAGTTCAATTTTGGTCTCATCTGACCAGACTATATTCTCCCAGTATTTCACAGGCTGGTCTCAATGTTGTGCAGCAAACTTTAAATAAGCTTCAACATGCTTTTTCTTCAGCAATGGAGTCTTACGTGGTGAGTGTGCATAAAGGTCTTGAGAGAGCTCTTTGATTTTACCCATCATGAGATGTTTCTTGTGACACCTTGGTAATGAATACCTTTTTATAGGCCATCAGTTAAGACTGAACAAGACAATATTAATTTGCACTGACAAGGGGCAGGATTGCTTTCTAATTACTGATAGATTTCAGCTGGTGTGTGGTGTCTTGGCTTTCCATGCCTTTTTGCACTTCCTTTCTTCATGTGTTCAATACTTTTTCCGTGTCATTCCATTTTATTACACATAACTTAATTTCTGAACTTACAGTGCCTTGAAAAAGTATTCATACCCCTTGACATTTTCCACATTTTCTCATGTTACAGCCAAAAATGTAAATGTATTTTATTGGGATTTTATGTGATAGACCAAACACAAAAGTGGCACATAATTGTGAATTGGGAAAACGAGAAATGTTTAAATATTTTTACAAATAAAAAGTGTGAAAAGTGTGGTGTGCATTTGTATTCAGCCCCCCTGAGTCAATACTTTGTAGATCCACCTTTTGCTGTAATTACAACTGCAAGTCTCTTTGGAAATGTCTCTACCAATTTTGCTAATCTAGAGAGTGACATTTTTGCCCATTCTTCTTTGCAAATAGCTCAAGCTCTGTTAGATTGGATGGACAGCGTCTGTGAACAGCAATTTTCAAGTCTTGCCACAGATTCTCAACTGGATTTAGGTCTGGACTTTGACTGGGCCATTCTAACACATGAATATGCTTTTATCTACACCATTCCATTGTAATTCTGGCTGTATATTTAGGGTCCTTGTCCTGCTGGAAGGTGAACCTCCACCCCAGTCTCAAGTCTTTTGCAGATTCTAACAGGTTTTCTTCTAAGATTGCCCTGTATTTGCCTCCATCCATCTTCCCATCAACTCTGACCAGCTTCCCTGCCCCTGCTGAAGAAAAGCATCCCCACAACATGATGCTGCCACCACCATGTTTCACGGTGGGGATGGTGTGTTCAGGGTGATGTGCAGGGTTACGTTTTCCACCACACATAGCGTTTTGCGTTTATGCCAGAAAGTTCAACTTTGGTCTCATCTGACTAGAGCACCTTTTCCACGTTTGCTGTGTACCCCACATGGCTTCTTGCAAACAGCAAACGGGACTTCTTATGGCTTTCTTTCAACAATGGCTTTCTTCATGCCACTCTTGCATAAAGGCCAGATTTGTGGAGTGTACGACTAATAGTTGTCCTGTGGACAGATTCTCCCACCTGAGCTGTGGATCTCTGCAGCTCCTCCAGAGTTACCATGGGCCTCTTAGCTGCTTCTCTGATTAATGCTCTCCTTGCCTGGCCTGTCAGTTTAGGTGGACGGTCATGTCTTGGTAGGTTTGCAGTTGTGCCATACTCTTTCCATTTTTGGATGATGGATTGGACAGTGCTCAACGAGATGTTCAAAGTTTGGGATTTTTTTTTTTTTTTGATAATCTAACCCTGCTTTAAACTTCTACTCAACTTTATCCCTGACCTGTCTGGTGTTTCTTGGCCTTCATGATGCGGTTTGTTCACTAATGTCTCTAACAAACTTCTGCGGGCTTCACAGAACAGCTGTATTTATACTGAGATTAAATTACACACAGGTTGACTCTTATATATAAATTAGGTGACTTCTGAAGGCAATTGGTACCACTAGATTTTAGTTAGGGGTATTAGAGTAAAGGGGCTGAATACAAATGCACGCCACACTTTTCAGATATCTGTAAAAAAATTTTGAAAACCATTTATCATTTTCCTTCCACTTCACAATTCTGTGCCACTTTGTGTTGGTCTATCACAAAAAATCCCAATAAATTACGTTTACGTTTTTTGGCTGTAACAAGACAAGATAAATGTGGAAAAGTTCAAT